GTTTTACGTCTCATCCGAAGGACATATCAGGAGATAAGTCACAAAACTACAAATAATTTGTAAAAAAATGAATGAACCAATGGAAACCAACATTTGTACTAACCGGATGGACAGAATACATTTCAGTGACTTTTCATATGATTGTTATCTAAGCAATTCAGATACACTAAGCTACAGGAGACATTCTTTGAAAATGGTCACATGCCTCTTAACATTTCTAAAATATCACATGATAAATGGTCTTATGAGGAAGTGTTGTGTTTTGATAATTACAGCAAGTGATATCTCTTATTGCAGTGTGCACAATGGGCACCATGCCCACTTATGTTTAAGTACTCTATAATGTCTCATTAAATATAAAGGTTCTTTCTCCTCATTTTGAAAATGAAAGCTGCTCCAGAACAGAAGGATGTTTTTCTTCCCTTTTATGTATATACATATTTATACATATACATATTTACCCCTATAACCAGATGTTTTTTCCTGTGATCCTCCTGTTCAATTTTTTATTATTGAATCATTTTTTTCTGTTCAAGCAATAAAAGGGAAAACAGCTAAACAGTAGCTCCATCTAGAGGAAACACTGTCCAGTATACAGTGTTTGGAAAGTTGCTTTTCCAGCTGCAGATCACTTAACATTAAACAGGTGTCTGTTTGTTGTGCAAAAGGTGACATGTCATGAGTGTTGATTGCCAGGATACTACCTATGTAAAGTCAGTGACTCTTTCTGACCCTACAAACTGGATTGCATCACTTTTGATATTTCCGGAATCTAGTTTTTTCATGGATGGACACGGCTCAGAACTCCTGAGGCATTGGCTTCTAGTGCTGAAGGAGAAACACAGATGAGGCTGGTGTGTCCAGCGGTTTAGGAGAAAAGTTTTATTCCCAGTCTGGGCTGTGGAATGATTCTCTTGGTAGGCTGTTTAACCTTCTTGTGCTTAGAGCTACATACAACACAAAAAAATCAAAGTCCTTTTATAAGTGACTATTCACCTGTAGCAAAGTTCACTTCTTATAACAGTTTTTTTAATTCACTTAAGATAGATGTATGTTACATGGTTAATTATTGTTCTAGAGAATCTTGCGACCTACTGACTCCAATTCTGAATTCTTTGTTTTCTTTTTTTCTTGTTTTGTAGCTTGATCCTTCTGTGTGGGGAAACATAAACTTTTTAAAAATCGCACACTGAACAATGATGCAGGATACAGCAGGTAAGACTGTTAAAGTTGTGCTACCAACTGCCATGTAACATTTAACAAAACCTTGTGCCTTATTCCAGAGCATGTGGCTATTAACTGCACAGTGCTGAGCTCCAATTTCCCATAATACAGTATATCATTCAAAAGAATCGGAATTAGGCTGTTATATAGAGCATCTCCAGGAGCAGGCAGCATGAAAGGTTAAAAAGGATTTTTAATTATAGGATTTGCATTCCCAGCCCTTTTCTCCACTATGAGTAAGCCCACACAGGAATGATTGAGCTACAGTACTCATCTGCAGAAAGACAAAGAGGTTGCAATAAGTGATTAGTCATCAGTGACAAAGAATCAGAACAAGTTGCTAACTTCAAAGAATTCACCTTTAGGACAGGTAATAGAGAACTGTTAATTGCACATCAGTGCAATTTGAAATCATAGCTAGTTGAACCATCACAATTAAAATTGAGATGGTATTATCACCGGAAAGGAAAGTGAGGATCACATGCAAGATTAAATATTTATCACAGGCATTTTACAAAAGTTCAAAATATGCTCACTGTATATCCTAGAAATTCATGTTACATAATGCAATAACATAAGGACTCATTTACATGGTGCAAGTCAAAAGGATTACGTAACTACCCTCCAGGACGATGTGAACGTGCATTATGGCACTGATAAAAGATTGCAAAATGAAATGTATGTGTTGTAATGGTATATCAAAAAGCAGCCTACAGTAGGTCTCTGTAAGTGTCCTCTGTGGCTTGCTCACTAAAGTGTTATCAAATTGAGTTCCCTCCTCAGAAGCAGGCACTATGGCTCTCCATGACTGTAGCCACATCCAAAAGCAGATCCTATCATTACTACAGGAGTTCAGAGGCGTTTTCCTTTCCTAGACGTTGATTGCTCAATGTCCCAGGTCACTCAGTATGTTTACTGTAGGGATGAGGGGCTCTGGGGAGGACTTACAGATCTCCTGCTGCTGGCCTGCCAGACTCACTCCAGCAGAGGGAAACAGGAGAATACTGTTTCACACATCACACACCTGACTCCCTGCAGCAGGGGCTTTAAAGAAGAACAAAATTAGCTAAAACCCAACCAATCTGCATTTGAAAGCTCTTGTCTGAGCAGGCGGAACTGAAACAGTGCTCTAGATAACGGAGCTGTGTAATCTGTTGCGTACCATTTTGTATACATTCAAATTAAGATCTTTTTTTTCTTTTGCAAATATCTTTTAGCAGTTTTGGAAAAGCGCAAACCCGTTCCCCAGGAAACTGTATTGGAAGATCAGTCTTCTAGAGAGTTCCGCCGCTGCATGGAGAAGATCAATAACTGTGAGATCACATCTGATACCATGTTACCACTGGACAAACATGGCTTGGAGAGGACACCCAGAGCTGTCAAGATGGGGCAAGAGGGGGTGTTTTCACAGGGACCAATCACCTGTGTCTACCCACTCTCCTTATCTCACGGCACACGGGCAGCCGGGCTCTTGACTGTCTCTAAGGCCACTTGCGTTCACCACGAAGCAAAAATGGTGAGTGTGACCATTTTCATTTCACTTTATAATGTCACTACACTTTTCTTTTCTCCTCTAGTATTTTCCATCAGTTGTAAAGTAAAATAGCATTTCAGAACAATGTTTTCATGAGTTTCCTCAGAACTTTTAAAACGACCAGATTGGACACTGGTATGCCAGCTACTATTTTTCTTACCTCAAAAAGTGTTATTTCTCTTGACTCAAAAAGGATGATAAGTTAGGCTCAGATTGAATGGTTAAGAGCTGAGGGTTTTAAGAGCTATAAAATGAGTTTAAGCAGTTGATTGTCTAAATACAGTTATTAATGTCTGTGTTCAGATATGTCCACATTGTAGCCAGCAGTCCATAATATCTGAGAATGTTCCTGCAGCTGTTTTAAATACAAATCAGATCTTGAACTTGAGCAAAATATGGACAAATATCGACCACTTCACTCTGTTAAACAGTAAGTGGTTTTATCACAATATGAACTACTTTGCAAATGATTGCTATTCCACTACATTGTCTTAAAAATAGAAAACAAAATTGGAAGCTTCTGATTTTGCACTAAAATATTAAGAAAAATACTTCCCAATGTCCTGATCCTGTGTTTAAAAAGTTGATTATAAACATGGTTTTCACAGCACATAAACTTTAGATCTGGAAGGGGAAATTTTACAGTTTTATTTTAAAGATATTATAGCAAATTACATTTTTTACTGAAACAGTACATTAATTTGATCACTCTCACATGTTCTCATTTAACATAATCTCCAGCAGCCTTAATGTTGGGAGGTGGCTTTCACTTAGTCAAATAGATAGGCTCTCTGAGTGGCAGTAGGTGGTTTAATTGAGAAGCACAGGACAAACTTCCATCACCTTCCCTGGCAGTAACAGCTGTCAGAAAAATTCAATTGAGAATTAGTGCACCAGGTGGAACCAGTAATGCAATCTCACGCCATTTCCCATTCCAGCGTTTGCTACAACCAGAGGCCTAGCACGTTATTCTTTTGGGAATCCCTATATTCTGAGCACTCAGGGTATATTGACATACCTTTGTATTCTCTTGCACAACTCTGAGCAATTAAACAACACCACACTACTTCTTAAACATAAGTGATCTACTGTGAATACCGTTTCTTTCTCTCCATTATTTTTCAGACCTCCTACACTGACAAAGGAGAAAAGGTAGGTTATTATCTGACAGCTGCATTGTTGTATTTTTTCACAGAGTAAAGGTGCTGTGGTTTTTTGTACTTGCACACCAAAAAAAGGGGTTCTTTTTTAAAAAAAAACAGCAAACACTTTTCCCAGCAAACACTCAATGTCCAAAAACATTTAATCTTAATGCTCTAAACTTAAGTATATAACAATATACAGTATAACACACATCTTATACTAAAGGACTCAAGTTGTCACAGTTTGGAGTTTATTTCCAGACTTGTTCTATGCGACATCTTTACTCTTATATTTAGAAGAGCTCATAGTTACATTCATGGCTTCTTGTCCTAAGATGGAAATACATTTTTGTCATCAAGTACCTTATAACCAGTAACAGGGTGTTTGTGTCATTTCTGTGTTTTAGCCAGAGAGAGGGCGATTTGTGAAATTCCATCATGTCACCTTCTGGGTGGGAAATGCAAAACAGGTAAGCTGAATTTGTTGCATTACTGAATGGAAAGTACAGTAATCGAGGATCTCTGAAACTGCCCACACATGGATAAAATACAATACTTGCTGTAGTATCATGCCCAGTACATTCCCCTGAAAGGATTGTTGTCTAGAGAAATATGTGAAAGAAAGTTTTCATTCTTTAGCCAAACGGGAGACATTTAGTCAACTTACATTTTTAATAATTAACTCTGCTTCATCTAGAATGTTCCTCAGATTCCAATCAGTGTAATGGCAAGCTATACTGATGTTACAGGGGCTTCAGCTGATGAATGTGTGTCTCTTTACTTTTTTATCAAACCAAGTTCATTCCCCTTTTGAATATTGACATTTGCAATGTACTTTCGGGCAGGCTATTCGTGAACAACATTAAAGCCACCGCTTAAAAGTTCAGGTGATCTTCTTATAACTTTGTTCTGCTAATCTTGTGATTGTAACTAGGAACAGCAGTTAATCCAATCAGCTCTTAAAAAATCAACCATGAAATGCACTAGAAATGATCTGGATCATGAAATACTTTTGTCTGCTTACTAAACGTGAGGTAGAACAAAGTGAAGGTGGAAATACCTGATTACTTAGTAGTTATGAATGAGGTTGCACTTTATATCTAGATAGTGTCATGTAGGTGCACAGCGGTCCAGGAGAAATAAAAAATTTACTGGAAAAAGAAGATGACCACATTAAGCCTCAGAAACTGAATTTCCTAGCCTTTAGGAATAGATCATGCCAAGGAGAAGAAATTAAAAACCTGAACCAGGAAGAATTCACTATGAGCGCAAGTCTAACTTGTTGGTCCTTGTTTGTCTCCTTACAGGCTGCAACATTTTACTGTGACAAAATGGGCTTTGAGCCTCTAGCCTACAAAGGTTTGGAAACGGGGAGCAGAGAGGTGGTGTCACACGTCATCAGACAGGATAAGGTCTGAAACACGGACAATCTTAAACTTTTCAAAAACGAATCATTCAGATTTCCCAACCCAGACACTAACACTCATTTTTCATGAGTAGTAACAGCATGTTTCTGTCTTCTTTCAGATAATGTTTGTGTTCCAGTCTGCGCTGAACCCTGGAAATAAGGGTAAGCTTTAATGTGAAATTCCAACACTGTACCTGAAACACTGAAAGACAGCCTTTGATCATCTATTAGAAAAGGATAAGCTTTGTGACTCACCAGTTTTGTTTTGTTCGTTTGTGCAAAAGTGCCAAACCCAATTAATTGTTTAGATAAATGATTTTAGAAAAAACTATTAGAAATACACATCTCTGAAATCCTCACTACTTATGGCCTATGCTACATGATATTAAGAACTGTCCCTCACATTGCTTTGCATGTACAATGTGAAACAAAGGAACTCTCAGCCCCTCATCTCCCTCCCACATAACAGTGACGCGTTCCAGATGTTATGTTTTATTTCCGTTCCCAAATGTCACCTTTTCTCCTCAGAAATCGGGGAGCATCTCGTGAAGCATGGGGATGGCGTGAAGGATGTTGCTTTCCAGGTGGAAGACTGTGACTTCCTGTTGAAGGTAACTGTCTAAGACTTACCCAGGGACTGGACCACCGATCACTCTGTTGGGAGTGCAAAAGTGAGCCCCGAGGCATAGAGGCTGCAGGTTTGAGTGGCTGGGGTGCCCCTGGGCAGTTGGACACAATTGACCAAGGACTGATAGGTCTAGATGAGTTGGTGCTCTATTCCGAAAACTCAAAGTTCATTCAAAAACATTTTTCTCCAGAACAGATTGCCTAGCTGTAAAAAGTCCTGCATAAAAAAGTGCCGGTCGTTAATCTACTGTTATTTGCCAGTTCATCAAAAGTTCTTCTAAAACCCTTTTGATGGACTAGGTGATAAAAATGAACCGTTGGTTGTCAGCCAACCAAACATGGATCCTTAATTCTTACTTTCATTCTTAATGTTATACTTTAGTTACCAGCAGGAGAATTTATAGGCTGTCAAACAGCAGAGTTTTCTTGCTGTTCATTTGGCTCTGTACGACCCAAATTTCGAAAACTATGTACACCAGGTTAAAGCTCTAAATACAACAGAAGTGGCATTGTTTTCTAATTATCAAGAGTGCATCCAATATTAGAAAAAGTGGCACAACTTTGGCATAGAAGCAATGAGCCTTTAAGTGTGTCAAAAAAGTAATCTGACCTCTATCCCTGACTGTGCTATGTGACGGATGTTTTAAGCTGTGTGGTATGTACAGTACCCACCACTGCTACAGCAAGCTGAAGATAAGCTGTACATACCTTTGCCTTTTGCTGGGTTCTGGGCAGCCCAAGCAACAGGTGAAATAAACCCTGGGCTGCTTCCATTTCACTTGTTTTAGTTATAGTTTAACCAGGAGTGCAACAGGAATGCTCAATGCCCATTTCAGCAGACTCACTGTTCAGATCCACCTCTGTGAGGGAGCTGTGGAGAAATCAGGGTGCCAACAGGTAGGGGCAGTGGCGGTGTTGTACCCATGATAGGATAATGCCTCCTTTGATGCAGATCTCTTAAAAAACAGCATGATGACCGGAAGAGCCTTTGCCTGCTAGAGGGCGCTCTAACCATTCATTCGTGTGGTAAAGTGAAGAAGTCTGGCTATATTGACACTACCACACCTAATACCAGCCTACAGGAGAAACCACCAGATGTGTTTGTACCGATGCTTTCAGTGCTTGGTGTTTGGTCCCTGTTGTATGATCTCTAAAGCTGCAAGGGCATTTATTAGCTTGCATTCATTTGTTTCTGTTCTGAGAAAATTCAATAGTAAAGAACCTTCATCGCATATTGCAAAGCTTTGAATAGCAGCTCGTTTTAACATGAACTATTACAGCCGTTTTTCAATAAATATTGAGTTTAATTGGATTAAAAAGAATGATTAAAAATATCTCCAGCTTTAGGTCACTGGTGAAATGGATTCTGAAAATGTTTGAGCTGAGGCACATGTAATAGAACGTAATGAATCAACTTAAACTGAAAGGGACAGACTTGTATGAATCTGTTAATAAAAATCCACAAAAGCCTTAAGCTTTGAACTTTTGACTTGGTGACACAACACAATGCCAAAGTCAAAGAATCATGCTTGTTGCTAAAACAGCCTAAGAAGGTTGATAAATTGAAAGTGACTTTGTTGTCAAATTGTTTTTTTCTGTACACAACCTTCAAGCTTGAGCAAAAGCATATCTATTAGCGTTATTGCTGGGAGAATGTTGTATTCTGTAATGGTAATGGAAAAAAAATCTCCATTAACTCTTTCCATTCACTGGCCTAATAGAGAAGCACACAGTATCTGTCAGTTCACTAGGAGAGCTCAGGTCTTTCAAGCTGTGACGCTGCAGGCTGTACAGTCATTTAAAAATTCTCCTGATGATCCGGAAAATTGAAAAGTACTGCAGAAGTGTCTATTTTGGAATGTATGGCACTGAAAGTTAATATTTCATATTTTCTTAAACATGTAAACATCACGTCAGATAATAAAATCAGGAACCATATTAGTGACAAGCACAGAACACTGCCATCTCTGAGGAATATAGCCAACTGTGTCTCACTGTGAGTTGTGGACCCAGCCTCAGTCCCTTAATACTGTGGTCAGTTAGGCATTCCTTTGAGCCTGTTCTGAGTCGAATCTAAACATCTTTCCACAGAAAGCCAGAGAAAGGGGGGCGGTGGTTGTTAAGGAGCCTTGGATTGAGCAGGACGAATATGGAAGAGTGAAGTTTGCTGTCATACAAACCGTGAGTCTGTGTTTTACTAAAATGCAGTGCTTACTGTCTTATTGCATATAGTACATTTAAGTCCCTTTTTGTGCCCTTGGCACACCAACTTTATCATCTCTATTGCAAAGTACAATCCACAGCGGAAAACTACAACTGAGAATGTCACAATTTAACTGCAACTGAAACTGGAAGCAAATAAATATTGAAAAGCACTGCACAAGGGTTGCAAAATGATTGCTTTTTCTCAGCATTCTTAAATCACTAAATCATTTCTGGTTGAAAAGCAATTAACAAAATAATCTGCATTTCCCCCCCCAGTATGGAGACACAACACACACATTTGTGGAGTACCTTGGGCCTTACAAAGGCCTGTTTCTGCCCGGGTACAAGGAGCCCACCTTCAGAGACCCCCTGCTGCCTCAGCTGTAAGGAGCCCGTTTTCTTCTTTAACAGATTTGCCTTTTAATGAAATTGAATAGCTTAAATTTAGAAAGCAATGACCGTGGAAATAGCCTACCACTGCTTTTCATAAGCACAAGCCATCAGTCACGTCAGATTAGCAAAGGCTCCACCGGCGAATGTGTATCTGTTATCTGTTGGTAATCCATCCTTTCCATCAAGCCTGCAGGATGAAACGGCCTCTCAATACAGTATTTCCTTCAGTCCGACAGAATCTTGCAGGAGTTCGATTGCTATAAATCTTCTAGATCAGTGGAAACGCTGCGAACTTCTCTGACATTGATTCAGCTTTCTGGTTTTCTACAGAACAGTGATTAACGGCGAGGAAAATGCCTTCTCCATCCCTCTCTCTCTCACACACACGTACAGTAAAACCTCTTTTCTCCTGCAGGCCACCAGGCTGTCTGAACTTCATAGATCACGTTGTGGGAAACCAGCCGGACGATCAAATGGTTCCCATATCGGACTGGTGAGAGTCACACAACAAAAAACTGTAAAGACCTTAAGTGTGAGGAGAAATATCCCCTGTTACTGGAGTTACAGATAAAAGAAAGTAGGGATCAATTTATCCCTGACCCCCAGCAGCCCAGAAAACTAACTCGAGTGCCCTGTTATGAAGATCTTACTGGGGCTTTCAGCAACAGGCTGTGGAACAAGAAAGAACACGTCAAATGTTCTTACCAACTGTGAGAGAGGAGAAGTATATGACACCACCACCACAAATCAATTAATACACACCAACATTTTGGAAAGTATATTAGAGGGGCCAGAAGGGGGCGCTCACCCTGTGGTCTGTATGGGTCCCAGTGCCCCAGTATAGTGATGGGGACACTGCACTGTAAAAAGGCATCGGCCCTCAGATGAGATGTAAAACCAAGGTCCTGACTCTCTGTGGCCTTTAAAAATACTTGGGTGTTTCTCAAAAAGTGTGAGGCTGTTACCCCAGCGTCCTGGCCAAATTTCCCTCTGGCCTTTACCAATCATGGCCCCCTAATAATCCCCATCTCTGAACTGGCTTCATCCCTCTGCTCTCCTCCCCACTGAGAGCTGGTGTGTGGGGAGCATACTGGTGCACTAAGGATGCTGTCACATCATCCAGGTGGGGCTGCACACTGGTGGTGGTGGAGGGGATCCCCATTACCTGTAAAGCACTTTGAATGGAGTGTCCAGAATTATTACTATTAAACAGAAGGAATTATTACTATTAAACATTTTGCTCTTATACCTTGAAAACTGAGACTATAAGTTTCTCTATATGCTCTGCATATCTTTTGCATTTGATTTAGCTCTGTGCAACTCCATCAACCAGAGAGTGCCCTTCTCAAGCCTTTCGCTTGACGTTAACTGCTTTATTTGTAGGATGTCAAAGAGAACAGGGCTTTTCATTTTTTGACGTCGCAGTCCATCTCTTTCCCTCATCGTGAATTTTCTTTGGTTCGGGGGCGGGTTATGTGTTCTTCCAGGTACCAGAAGTGTCTGATGTTCCACCGTTTCTGGTCGATAGACGACAAGCAGATCCATACCCAGTACAGTGCGCTGAGATCCATTGTGGTCACTAACTACGAGGAGACGATAAAGATGCCCATTAATGAGCCAGCGCATGGGAAGAAGAAGTCCCAAATTCAAGTATGTGGAACAGGGATAAGGAATGGAAGAAGTCTGGGGTCAAACTGGAACAGTTGGAAAATGAATTAAAACCTTGGAATGTTTCAGAGCTCCTGTTCAGTAGCCACTGGGGACAATTTTACCTTTGTTTTGCTGTGTTTCATCAGCCCAAAATCACAAAGCACTTTGCAAAACGCTGCCACACGTGAAAGCAGCCGTGAGTTTTTCATACATGACATGTTTTCCTTTGGGTGATGCCAATAAAAGCTTTTCCATCCTTCAGGAGTATGTAGACTACTATGGAGGACCAGGAGTTCAACACATCGCTCTCAACACCTCCAACATCATTCAGGCTGTGAGTTCGTGCCTCCACTTACCGATTAAGAACAGATTCTGACATTCAATGACATTCTGGCAACCTGTTTATACAGCAGAGCATGTACAAGAGCAATCTGAGTGAAATACCTTGCTCTGGGGACTACAGCAGTGTCCCACCTACTATCTGAACCCACAACGCTCTGATCCAAAGTTCACAGAATTAAATTAACACATGAGGGCAAAAGGTCGTGTTGGCCAATCTAAAAGCAAACCTGCTGTTTACCATTAAACTTGTTTCCAGTACAAGGTGGGCTGTTTTGAATTTTCAGTAAAGTTATGCAACAGGTTCAAGAGTTGGTCAGATAAAGACTTTTACTGGGTTTTCTGCTCAGATTATCAACCTGAAGGCCCGTGGGATGGAGTTCCTTTATACTCCCGACACGTACTACGACAACCTGAAAGAGAAACTGAAGACAGCTAAGATCAAAGTGAAGGAAGACCTCAATAAACTGCAGGTGGGAATGTCACACGAGGACAGGCCTTAAACAACATACAGGACTATGAACAGTAGGCAACTCAAATATAATTTTGCACTTTTAATTTGAAAAACTGGGACTTTATCCTAGCCAGATAAAACAAATGACTGTTTTATTTAATCTCACCAACAAAGAAATCCCTACTCTATATACAAGTTCATCCATAATGTGAATATTTTTTTCCCTCCATTTGTACTGTTGTGATGGTGAAACAAATACTCATGTTTGATTCCTTTTGAGT